TAGAGACAAAAGCAGACAACAGAACAAGGTTCAAGAGAAAAAGAGGTGAAAGGAGAAAATTTTAGAGAAGAAAATTTTCTGTGGCGGTCAGGTCCTATTGAAAGAGAGGCAAAGACTATAACCTCAACACCACAAGAGGCCTCACATACAAGTACTGTCGTACAAAACTATACAACACAGGTACAGCATACGTCCATGGCTGATCGCAGAACTCCCAACAATTGTCAAATTGTCAAATGGTGTTTGTTGGAGTCCTGCAGCCTGCACCCAGTCCAGCCATCAACATACAAAAAGGACATAAATACATAAACATACTAACAAAAGTATATATACATTTCATGTACGATACTCTCTAAAAACAATACACCAGCACAAGATACACAAGCAGCTATAATTAAGTAACGACACCGCAAAGAACTTTTTTACTAACAAATATTTTATTTTCATTTCTTTACAAAATAATATACCACCAGCACAGGAAACTCTAGACACTCTCACACACTTACACACTCACATACACACGCACACACAAACATACACAAACACACTATAACACACACTCACTCATTCATATATATATATATTTTGTACACGCACACAGACACACATCACATACATATCCACAACCAGCATTCCCACTCTACCCTACATAGAACAAAGTCTGCTACAAGAAATCTTCGACAAATGTGTACAATTCCTCTTAGTGTTGGCCAGTGATGTACCTATTCAGTAGGCCTACTCAGGCAGTGGGCTCAGCAGAGTTTCTACAACAGTGCTTGCTTTTCCTTACGAGTTCACATGGACAAATACACACACGCCAGCTCACACGGAGGAAGATACAGCAAGCATGCTGCTCAGAAATGGGCATAGATTCATTTTTTCCCGTTAAAAATCTTAATACAATTTCAGAAAATAGAGTGCTAGATTCACAGTGGCTGCGAACTCATCTTGATTTACATCTTGAATACACAAGCATCATCAGTTATTTGGGGCAATGACAATGGGGAACAAGAGTAGTGAGACTTGTGTGTGTGTGTGTGTGTGTGTGTGTGTGTGTGTGTGTGTGTGTGTTGGTGGGTGTGTTTATACAGGTGTGTGTGTTAGGGAGTAAGGGAGTGTAAACAATGCTTGACACTTGCGTTAATTAGACAGTATTCCCCATAGTGTTTTCAATGACCCTTTTCATGTGGTCTCACCAGGGAACTTGTTGGTCAGTGAGGACGGAGCCAAACGAGGGAAGTTCACATAATGAAGGATGGCACAGATCGATGTGGGACAACCCTTAAAACTCAATAGTAAGAAAAATCCCAAAGACAGTTGATTCAAGATGTAAAACTCATCAAGACAGAACACAAAACCAATCCCAGGTCAATGCTGCTTCCTTATTATATCAAGCCAAACGAAAACTATGCTCACTTCTGAACTCAAAGAAATGTGACAGGATAATTTAGTAGCAATCTTGAATAGAGTAAATTTGCTGACCATCTAAAGGTTAAAAAGCTATTTTTTGAGTATGAATCACATGGGCAGAAACCAACTGTATTGTCAAAACACAATCTGGGGTCAGGCTTGTACTTGTACCCTAGCAACAAAGTCCAGATTAGAACATAATATAAAGAACAAATAGCATTTCCTTCATTCATCAATTACAAGCTTTTTTGATAAATGTGATCTGAAATTAACATGAAAATTCTCTTCTTATATATATCTACATTTTGCGGTGGATTGTAAATATTTAAAAAGTCCAGAAAAATTCTTCATAATTATAGAGATAGTAATAATGATAAGCTCAACACAAAAACATGCACAGAAAAAAAAATGGATTTTTTCTTTAAGGGTGTTGCCAGTCACTAAAGTTACTCACTACTGCCACAATGACTAAGGCGGCACAAGAAGGAAATGAAGACCACAACGAAAACAAAAGAAAAACCAGTCACAATTTCGAAATTACTGAGTCATTGTCTTGTCTTTTGTATAGCACATAATTTCTTAAATTTACTCTCAAACCGAACAAAGGGCAGAGTTCTGAATTGCAGATCTTTTTTGAAAGAGTATGTTAGGACAATGACAAAAGTACAGTGTGTTTTGAACTTAACCCTTCGAGTTTTGAGCCTTTAGCTCCATTGCACTAGTGGTGCATGGCAACCACAATAATCAGTGGCACCGGTTCACCAGCTAGTTTCTATCAACATGCCATTATGGGATACCAACATGTCTTCATCCTTTCACACATGTTTTGGTCATATTCTGTTTTGATTTAGGTCAACTGAGTTTTTTCACAATGAAGGGCACTCTCTCTCCCCGAACCTTAGATACTCAGGAGACCAGGATTTGGGCAAAATTAGGATCAGGAACCCAGGGCTCAACAGATAATAAACATGCATGCATTTGATTTTCTCTAAACCTGAAAATGTGACTGATAGTTTTTTCATTGTGGTCTTCAAATGATAACATTGATAAACAACTTTATTTCACAGTAGAAAAGTAACTTCCAACCCCCCCAGAAAATAGATTTTTCATTTGACTTTGCATAGTGAGTGAGAGAGAGAGAGAGAAAGAGAGTATAAAAAATTGTGATCAATTCAAGTTGTTCTCAAATGTCTTTGTAGCTGAAGAGTACAGCAATAACAGAATGGCTGACTTCACTTGGTATGTCAATGACATAACAAGTAAATCATCATACGATCTATAAACTTCATTTGCCAACATACACACAGACAGTAAATTATGAACCTACGAGTTCAGATGTGAATTATGTACTTACTCCCAGCAGCTAACAATGCTGTTCGTTCTCCATTGAGTGCCCCTGCAGCAAATATACCGTAAATGTAACAGATCCATGACATATGATCTAGACAGACCCTTCTGAAGGGGTTTGTCAAACTAACCCGGACCTGGACCCCAGGTGCTATGGCTGTGACCACATGACCATGACCCCCAGGACCATCAGCCCATGAGCCCCAGGACAATGGAGGTGACGACACAACTAGTACAAAAGACCCACTCCTCAGACCCTGTACACATAAGTCGGTGGTCAAGACATGACACCTGAAAACACGACATGCAAGCTGTTGCTCCGACCTAGGTCTTGACGGACATAAAACTATGAGAAGGACTAACTTTGAGGGGTCGAACATCTCATCTTTTAATAGTAAAACATTCTGCAATTTGGATCTTCACAAACGTTACTCTTCTCTGCAAACTCAGCATTCCAAAATCGTTTTGGCCTGCACTGGCCCCCAGGCACTGGCCCCCACATTGACAGTGACCTATTTTTTGAAAAGTAAGAAAAGTGCAGTTGGCATCAGTTCTGACCTAAGAAATCGGCACGGTCATCTCACCAGAGCCAGACCAAGGCCTACAAAGACACTGCTAGATGAAAGTCAATTCAGAAACAGAGTGGCCACATTACACACTGACATAGGGGAGATATACAGGCCCCGAGACTACCAAAGCCCTGGTAGCAACACAGCCGATCAAAGTGTGGTACTTCAACTGGCAGACACAGGAGGGGCCACTCTAGACACATCTGGTAGAAACTGTCCAGGATCCAGGAAGAGCTATGTAGGGTCTACTGACACCAACATTCAAACGTCACCCAATGCTGCCCTGTGCTGTGAGGTATGGCTATTTATAGATGTGATGAAGAGATAGATACCAGTTTCAGCAGTGTGACTCCTCTAGGTGGCAAAGCTCAGGGAAGTTCAAAGGTTAACAGGTCATTATTTAGTCAATAAACATTGCTTCGGAGGATGGGACTCCAGCAATGAGCATGCAGTGAATACACTGAAAAAAACATAAGACTCTACTTCTAAAGTTCTTGACTGGCAAAGACTAAAAAAAAAGCTTCTATTGTGACAGGCAAATGCCTACCACTATTTACGAAGCACATATCTCACTCAGAAACTTCGATGAAACATTCAGCATCTGATGTGTGTGAACCAAAAATAGACAAGCTTCTATGAAAGAGGTTCATGACAAAACCAGTTGCTGTAGAAATCATGGATACTACTACACTTCGCAAACTTTTTGCCTCATTTCTGTCCCAACACGCAAAAAAATGGACCAAGGGGAACACGAGTGCTCTCCAGTTCCATCAAAATTAAAAACCCATCAAGGCAGGCGAAGGGTTTTCTGTGCAAGTTAGGACATTTCACAACAGACGCAAAAAAAGTCAGCGACAGACAGTGTTAGACAGTTCACATTGTCCACACTTCCATGGCCGTCACAAAGAGCAAAATCCATTACGCAGAAGGCTAGCCAGAAATATCATGATACAAGCATGAATATAATAGTATATATATATATGTATATATGTATATCTATATTTATATATAATATGTATGTATACATGTATGTACGTATAAATTAATAAAAAATACCAACACGCACACATTTGAAAACAAACTCATGAAAATTAAACTCCAGAAATGTTCAGTTTAGCAAAGGCTAAAATAAAAACATTACAATGTCAGATTGAAAATTTAATGCTACTTTTCTTAATTAATCCAAAAAGAAAACCAAATGCATATATAATCATAATAATCAAGACATTAAAAAATTACTTAAAACTTCAACAGAGAGTTGTGGAGAGGGAAAAGGGACGTGAGAGGGGAAAAGAGAGAGGAGGGGGGAGAGAAACGAAAGGGGGAAGAACACTGCGAGATAGAAATACGAAGGAAAAGGAAGCAATTGAGTTTGACTCAAAAACTAAAATATTTTGACACTGGTACTCATTCACGTACTTCTTGGTTCAGAAACTGTACAAATTATAATTCATTGTTTTTTCATCAACAAACAGTTGTTGTTTCAGTATCCACAAACAGGAAATTATCCTTTCATTAAACACAAATCATCATTATAAATTCATTTCATCAAACACAAACATTTTTCATTCTTCGTTTCAACAAACACACACAAATACTGACCATTTCATCTGACGAAAAAAACAAGAGAACAAACCACACTTTGGTTCTCATAATTAAAACTCAGTTGCACATTCCACATGACTTTAATAAAGCTAATCATACATTCTGTTCCTTAATGCACTCACAAAAATGCTAAGACAAAACTTTTTTTGAAAAAATGAATCACTCACATTCACTCATCAACTCTTTGTTTTCAAGCTGCACACAAAAAGACCCACTTTCTAAAGTCTCAGTTTTCATGTTGCAAAAATTTTTTAAAGGCCCACTTTTCAGGTAAGACCAAACACAGTCACACTTCTTCTGTCACTGTCACAAATGGGTACAATCAGGTTTTTGGTTTTGACACACATAATTCCACCAAGTAAGAGAGCACAAAGAGGTTAGTGTGTACGACTTGTATGACAAACTACAGAAGCTCACAATTAATAATTTATTACAGACAAAACGAAAATTCATATAAAAATTAAAGTAGAACATTTCATAATCTGTCATTTTAATAATCACTGTGTATTTGACAACTGTTCTTCACAATATGATTTAATGTCTTTTAAATGATTACCGTGTATTTGATACCTTTTTCTTCGTTACTGGTAAGGTAATATCAAAAACAATTCTGCTTCATCCTCAAGATACAACCCATCCTCTTCCAAGACCAACCCGTAACTCGAAACCAGAGTCTGGAGTTTGCCAAATACTATACTGTATCAGTAAGAATAGCATTTTTCCAGTCACCAAAGCTAGGCTTCCTAACTTTATTTTTTAAAATATATATGTTTTACGCCCTCATCAACATAATTTAGATGACTTAGGAAGGCAGTTTCAACACTGCTTGTCAAGGCCAACCCAGACAGTGAGTAATACAACATCCCAGCAAAAAGACGGAGATACTCAATAAAAATTCTCCTCTGGTCTTCTGCGTGTAACAGCAAATTGCCAAACTGTTACACTACGGATGCTGGTGACCTCCTCATCTCAACTGGCATCATGAAGTCAGTGTCCGGTGTTTGCCCAATGTTAGTTGTTTCCTTAGAAGAGTGCTTGTTTATCCCACCTGAAGCCTGATGTAATACAGAAGAAAGTATTTCTGACCCAAGGTCTGACCAAAGATGAGAGCAGACGTCTTTGACAAGAGCGGGGAAGCACAAGTCTAAAGGGCTGATTGTCCTCACCATTAAGGATATCACGACCCAAACCCAGAGCCACTACTGGTGTACCTCATCTATGGGATTTGGGCCAGAATAGGAAAAATATCATTTTCTTTCTTTTTAAAACTTTTGAATGAAATCTTACAATGGAGGAAATATAAAAAAAATAAAAAACAAAAACAAAGATTACTGATGCTCTGAGGTAGATAATCTGTACAATAAAATGATGTTGATTTAAGTCTTAGATTTCCCACACCCATTAATGCTACGCCTTCTGACGATATAGAATTCCTAGATCGCGGTTTGTCGACAGATCCAGAGTTGTGAATGCAAACCACCACCTTCACAGCTCCCACTGTGTTCACTTTAATAACAAATCCATCCCTGCTGCGTCATTTTCATTTCATTTTGTTCCACCAGATTTTCCTTAAAATGTAGGGTTTTTTACACCTTCATCAAGACAATTACTTTAAATCACTAGAATGGCAGGCTTCTACTCTACCTGTCAGAGCCAATCCGGGCTCAGATCGATTCTCCCCCAAGCCTTCTGCGGGCAATGGTGAGGAATCACTAAAATGGCAGGCTTCTACTCTACCTGTCAGAGCCAATCCGTGCTCAGATCGATTCTCCCCCAAGCCTTCTGCGGGCAATGGTGAGGTACCAAAGTACACACCACAGATGACAGTGATTTTCTTTCTTAAGATATTAATAAAACAAAGTTCAAAAACATAAAACATAAAACCTTGTACCTGACCCCTGATAAGCTGTAGCAAGCTCTGTTGTAGCAAAAAAAAGCCACTTGATGGACCCTGTGATCAGTGCTTTCCAAGTCACTAACATACCCTGTATGTGTCTATGGAAAGGTTAAAGTTTTCCAAAATGTGCTCCTTCATAAAAATTAGCATAGTACAACATGCTTTTCTAACAGAAACACTAGGCTTTCTTTCCATAAGCAATATACGTTGCTGAAAGACCTATAGAAGACCAGACCCTCCCACAGTCAGCTGGTTTTTGGCTCCAAATGTCAAGATCATAGCCGTCTATAGACAAATTAAAAGTACAAAGCTAAAACACAACCAAAAAAAACAGACGCAGCTGCCCAGGTGCACAGGTCTCACAATTCAAAACTCACAATTACCTCATATATCTTGTAAAGCCGTAAAAGTAACAAGCCCCAAAAGAGTTAAGGCTTCTTCTACATAAAAAGAACAAGTATAATCAAATATTACATTTCGAAGTAATAATAATATTACATTGTTAATGTAATATAAACATTTAAAAGTAAATGGGACCCCTCCATACCATACCATTAGTTCTATACACATGAACACACACACAAACACACACACACACACACACACATACACACACACACACACACACACAGCACAGAACACTGGACAAATCAGATCACATAGACTTCTATAGCTCGGCAGACACAGCTTCCACTGCCACAGATATTTTCCACAGAAGAAAGATCCGTTTTCATGTCACACTCCTCTGAGGATAATATCTCGGACCAATGAACCGTACAACTCAGAACAATGAGGGTTTGTGACCACACACACAAATCAGGAAGTGAAAACCACACAGTACAACTACAGAAGATAGAAGCCCTCAAAAAGATAGCACACATCATGTGTGTATACAAATTACAACCAATTCGTGTGTGCGAGTATGTGTGTGCGTGCTCGTGTGTGTGTGTGTGTGTGTGTGTGTGTGTGTGTGTGTGTGTGTGTGTGTGTGTGTGTGTGTGTGTGTGTGTGTGTGTGTGCATGTGAACAATATATGTGTGTCTGTGTGGGTACACACATCTTACGACAAACCAGAGTTGCCAATCCCATTGCTGACAATTAAGCCTGCCATTGCATTTTTTTACAATTTAACACTTTCCTCCATCACTAACAGATGATATTAGTGAAAAAAAAAAAAAAAAGAAAAAGCACAGTTTGATACCATCATAAAAGCTAGAGTTATATCAAGGAGCCATTTCACGGTATAATTGTCAACAATTAGGACTTCATTTTGGCTGGCCATGACACACAAATACATACACACATACACACACACACATAAGGACAATGAATTTTTTAATTTAAAAAAAAATGCTTTCAAACAAGCTTCAATGAAAGAGCAGTAAACCCCTCAGAGCTGTGGGTTTTAACTTTTAGAAATCCACTGATACATTAAAAATTTTGTTACAAAATTTTGGAGGACCTATGAAAATGGACGTCTCTTGAAGTATTTGAGGGAAAACTGTTCATAAGTCATTGATGAATTGGAGTATATGAATGAAACTTGGTATCTTCATGTTATTGTTAAAGCAGGATCTAGTTCCCCTATCAATTTTTCAATATCTTTATTACTTTTACACACACACAAGCACGTGCACACACACACACACAAAACAAAAAATGGTGTGGTAGGGCTGAACAACGTCTTACATCTCTGTCTACTCCCAACAAGACCTATAAATAGCTCTGTACAAGAAAGGACAAATTCCACGGTCTGCCAGCAGATTGTTCCTAGGGTACTCGAGGCCTCAGAGAAACCACCCACACACCTGGCACAGTCACCCGTCCGCTGGGAGAGAAGCTTTGCTAACTCACACAAGGGGGGGGGCAACGCGGTTTTTTTATGGCATCCCGTCTGTCTCAACGATCATTGGTCACTTTCCACTGTTTCAAGAGGAGAAAGACAAGGCCCTGATGGCAGAACATAATCCTGCAGTGTGTTCACCAGTGGATGAAAAGGTTTGCAGTTCAAACATTCCACTGAAAACATGGGGCGTCGTTCCGGTAGTAGTCACTTGGGCACTCCTGGTAAAAACTTCACTCTCTAATAATCCTGACCCACGTCACTCAGGAACCTAGGCTCGCGTCTTGGCACTCAGTGCTCCGGACACATAATGAATAAACCCCACTTTCATGGCATCTGTCACCGCGCAATTCCGATACATGTCTGTGTATTTCTGGCACGTGTCTTGGGTATTTCTGACACATGCAGAAGTGTAGACAAAGCACAAGTCACTGTATTTCTGGTACATGTCATTCTGTATTCAACATGCATAACATGTTCATGTATTTCTGGGGTAAATCACGTTGTTTTGAAAATATATGTCATTGTATTTCTGGAATATGTCATACTGTGTTATAAAAAAAAAGCAACACATATGTCACTAAATTCACTGTAAATGTCACGTTGTATTCGAAACATGTGTCACTGTATTCTGGAACACAATACTGTGTCTCTGGTTTATGCCACATTGTCAGTAAAGCAGGTAACTCGGTGTTCACGGGACATGTCACATAGCTTAAAAAAGCATCCCACCTTCCCTACAAGACAACATTTAACTCACAAATCTCTCACACATGTCAACTTCAGCATACATAATACTCTATTCCCCTGCCCTCCCTCACACACACACAAAGTCACACATGTGAGGCAGTCTGTCAAGATTAGAAATAAGAAGGCATACTTATTTTACGATGTCTCTTTGGTCATCCCGAGCTCAGTTTGAGCTAATCATATCAGTGTGTTCCCTTTATTTCATGTTTAATTTCTGAAAGTCATTAGCGGACAAAAGTGCTAAATAATTCTAAAACAAAATTTCTTGACATACTCTAAAAGCCAAAAAAACGTCCTCAAAATTGTGTCGCTTAAATCGTTTTAAACCACAGTTATTTTCATTCAAATGCACAGAATATACAGAAAACAACTGTATCCCCACAAAGGGTTAGAGCAAAGAGTAAAAACGTCCACCAGACAACTTTCACCCCAATTCTTGTTGGCCCCCCTCACATACTGCCTCCCTTACAACTGGGATCTGATAATGCAGAAACTAGAAAAACTTAAAACTGCGCAGAAAGAATAAGAATTTTCTCGATTTCTTTTCAAACCAATTAAATTTTCAAAGCAGCAATAACATTGTACTTGCAACTTCTCCAAATATTTCTTCCTGTTGTAGAAAATACTTTTCAAAGCACAAAGTATATATGGCAAACGCTTTGTTCCAGTAAGGGTTTTACAGTGCTTGCAACTGCATAAGGTCATATGAGCGCTTGGCAAACTCTTCTCTGCCAGAATGGGCCTCATTGGCCAAAGCAAAAGCTACAAATCATTTGATCCTTTTTTTGCCTTTATTTCTCATTTGGGGATAAACTATTGGTATTACAATTATTATTATTATTATTATTATTATTATTATTATCATTATTCTTTTAAGTTGAAGACTGAACAGTAGCCATGAAATAACCTCAGGAAATCCTTCACTCTTGAAAACTTGAAAATTCAAAAACATATACCACAGATAGACACCTAAAAGAAGAAGTTGACATATTCCACATTTTGACACATTTCAAATATAAACATATCCCAGATTCTGACACATTCCAAACTTAAACATACCCCAGATTTGGATGCAGTCCAGATGTATTGACATATCCCAGACTTTTGACACATTCCAGATGTATAGACATATCCCAGATTTTAACACATTTCAGAAGTAACACATCCCAGATAGTGACACAAATAGTGACACACTCCAGAAGTGGACACGGTGGACACATCAGTGAAGGCCATGAAGCAGTGAGGAACAAGTGTGCTGTGCGTAGTCTCTAGCTCCTACATGGGTACCCGGTCACCACAGACCACGAGGCAAGCGCAGGAAAAGCTGGACAGAAAGCGCAAGTAGCAATATGGCCGACGATGACGTGAGCACCAGGCCGCTGTTCTCTGGCCGTCTTCTCCCCTCATTATTACGGTCCTCTCCTCTGCGCCCCCCTCCTCCTCCTCCTCCTCCTCCTCCTCCTCCACGACCATTATTTCCTCGGCCACTTCCTCCACGACCACTTCCACCACGACCGTTTCCACCACGGTCGTTGTTGTTGTTGTTGTTGTTGTTGTTGTTGCCACGGTCTCCCACTTCCTCTCTAGGTCTGGTGCCTGGACGGATACTTCCTTCATTGATACCCGTGCCCACGTCCACCTCTGGGTCTTGCCAGCGTGGTCGGTTCTTCCCGCCGTGTCCGCCCTTCTTCTTGCCTCCCCCGCCACTTCCCCGGCCAACCCCAGGGTCTCTGCCTCCCCCGGTGGTGTACGGCGGTCGTTCGTCAATATCAAAGTCCTCATCGTCGGAAGTGCCGGCACCCGACCCACTGGACGGGAGCTCAAAATCATCACCACTGCCACTACCACTGCTCAAACCTTCAATCTCTGTGGATACACAAAAAGGACATTGTAACTGTAAATATTTTGCGACCCAACTCCTTCACAATTTAGATCATTAAGGAGGCAGGCAGCTTCCCAAAAAGTGCTTCTATATAGGCCTATCCTAAAAGGTTGCAGAAAATAAATATAAAAGAAGTGCTAAGCTTACAGGTCCAGTGAGGGGCTATGGAGAAATGAACAAAGTCCTGCCCTCTCTCCCTCCCATCTTTTCTCTCTTTCTACCTCACCTTTCCCTTGCTCTCCCTTGCTCTACATTCTCCACCTCCCCCACAACCCCTGCCGTCAACCTTTTTCCCTCCCATCACCCTCATATGCTCTCCATTGTATCCCCATCATTCTCTCTCTCCTCCCTCTCTCTCTCTCTCCCTCTTTCTCTCTCTCTCCATCTTTCTC